TCTTTGGGTGTCGCAAATAATTAATTTGAAAGCAGACATTTCTCTATAGTACTATTAATCAATCCATACAACGCGCGCCATGCATGGAAAATTATCCACTGTTTGAATGTCATGGGTTCTGAGTCCAAGCCACGTGATTGGCTAATTAACTAAGTAAACAAAATAGCACATTATCAATATATTGTTATAGATTTTTACCTTTTTTCCTTAATTCCTCAATGCTATCACGAGTAAGAGACTTCTATAATTTATTAATATATATATTTCAATTTATTTTAATAAATTTTATATGATCGTTTTTAATCTACTAAAAAATATTGATTTAAATTGCTTATTGACACACTCTTGTCTTGGTTTTATTTGCTTTAGTTGACATAGAATGAAAAGGACCGTTATAAAAAATGATAAACAACTAGAGTTGTGATATTTATGTAATATGAGGGCTATTTTGTTGGATTTGCTTAAATCCATCTTTGTTATATTCTTACGCAGGTACTAATTAGTCAACGTTCAACCGACGTGGTCTTTTCCTTTAATGGGGTTATGTTCAATGGTTTGAAGGTGATTATTCTTTTTGGGTGTAAATATTGGGAAGGGTTTTTGTTTCAAAGAAGGACTCTTGCTAGTCAAGGTAAAGAAAGGAAGCTCGGATCGTGTGGGTTGTTTTTTCTTTGTTTGGTAACATCAAGAATTGCCTTTTTCCCTCAAGCTTGAGCTGTTTTTCAAAAGAAGTATTAAAGGCCATTTGAAAGAGACTAAAGTTAAAGAACAACGTCGCAAGAAATTGAAATTTGCTAATGCATCAAAGGAAGAAAAAGTAGTATGTACGGAGATTATTAAAAGTATTTCCTCTCATATTTCTTCTTGCTTCTAATTTCCATTTTACAAGATTTGGGGAATTAAACGGCTTAGCAGCTTTATCAGTTTATTAGTATTTTGAATATGAGTTACACTATTTCTATATTAGTTTTTTATTACAATAACTTTTTTTATTTTTTTCATTGTTCTTTTTCTTTATTTTTAATTTATAAAATAAATTGTACAATTTTATGTTGCAACTAACTTTTCTCTTTCAACAATGGTTGGACTTTAGTTACGATTAAAATCTTAATACAAATACCCCAACCGTAAATATCCCAAAACATCTACCGGAAACAAGATATATATCCAAATACCAGATATTATATCTTTTTATTAATCTTAAAATTTTATCTCTTTTGTAATTAAATATCTTAAAATTTTATTTTTATTTTTAATTATCATTAAAATTTTCTAATTTTATAAACAGTCACTTTAAAATTTAATTGTGTTCCAATTAATCCAAAAATTTTATCCTCTTTACAAATAGACCATTCTCTAAATTAAGTTGAAATTAAATTATTAATGAAGAAATTATTTTAATCATTTATATTTACCTTAAATCTCGACCATTCATTGATTATTTTTATAAATATCATAAATTGATAAAAATCATTAATGAAATATGTGTGTGTGAATATTAGTCAAGGACTTTTTATATGTTTTTTACTTTACTTTTCTTCTCACAACTATTACTATTATTATGATATTATATATATAATTCTTTTTTGTGTTATTAATTTTTCTTTAGTATTTTTTCTCCTGAATTCACATCTGTTATTATATTTGATATTTAGAAAAATGAAGTATAACAATAAAAAGCTAATGAATTATTACAATTTAATTTTTTTATAAATAATTTAAATCCAACTTAATTTATAGGAGTTACCTCCAAAAAAGACAAAGAGGATTAATGACTATAAAATATAACATTAGGGCAGACATTTGCAAAAATGACAGAGTTTAATAAATAATTTGAATAATATTCTAGTTCAACGTGTTTACTTTAAAAGAATTATAATTAATTGAAATAAAATTATAATTTATAAATAAATATATTTAATTATATAAAATTTTAAAAAGTTATTTACTCTTTTTTCTTTACTTAACTCTCCTCCATTAAAGTTTATAAAATATATTACTATTATTTTCCATTTTCTTTACAAGTTAACATTTTTTTTTTCACATTTAACTTAGTATAATGTTAAACAAATTGAAGTGTCACAGGCATGTATGTGTTAAAAGAATGTCTTATCCTCCGTAATGTATTCTTTCCCCGTCTTATTATTATTGTTATTGTTATTATTATTATTATTATTATTATTTCCTCTTTTTCCTTTTTTATAATGCCTATTATATATATTTCATTAGACAAAAAAAAAAAATCTTTAAGCAGCTCAATTAATAAATTTAAAGTGTGAAATATATATATAAATAAAATGAGTTAAATTTCATTAATACATTTTCTGTTCTTTCTCATTTTTTTCCCGCGATATCTCTCTCCCTTAAATAAAATAATAAAGCAAGTAATTAATACAATGAAAGTATTATTTGTCATTTTAATCTTAGAGAACATTTTTTTATTTTTAATTATAAAAATATCATATATTTCCATTTTTTATTTTTCATAAGAAATAAAAAAAATAAACCGATTATTTTAAAAATCAAAATAAAATAAGTTGGTTTAAATAAAATTGATTTTTTTATTTTAGAAAAACAAATCCAAACATGTACCTAATCTTTAAATTAATTATCTTTCATTTATAAATTTTTAATTTAACTTTACACTATTCAAATAAAATTAATTGTTATAAAAAATACTCGTGATTTAAGTAAAACAATAATGACGATAATTCAAATATAATGAATTTATACAAACAATGCAATGCGTTATTCTAAAAATTTTATATACATCATTGAGGATTGATAGATCGTATTAATAACAAAAATAAAATAAAAAATTGTATATTAACAATTCAACTTTTCTTAGATAAAAGATAATACCTTGGAAAAACGGCTTTACAATAATAATTTTTTTCCTTTTTAAATATTATCGTTTTGAGGGGAAGATGAAGTTATATACGTATTTATCATAGATGAGTGACATCATTGAAAGAAATTTGACTTGTTCTGAAAGTTTTCAATGCAACCGCCCTATGCCATTACTATATATACATATATGTGTGCATATTCATTTACTTTTTAACAAGTCCCTTTTACTAATTATAAGAATATAAGATTATATATATAATTATGCTGGTGTCGTCTTTTCATTCATAAATAATTATGAATTTTATCTGTTTTACTTTTGAGATATCGTCATGGTAAAATTTAAAGAGGCAGGTAAGATTCATATATAAATCCATTGCAGGTAGAATCCTTGTCATGTCTATATTAAACAATCGAAAAATAAAAATAAAAATAAAAACGCCACAACGTTATGTCAATATCTTGAAGCATAGGCTTAGAAATGTAGGCAAACAAATGTATAGGATTAGGTGCTTCGTTACAAATTCTAATTCTGAATTTGTCAAGTTCTTGAAATCTCGAGAATGCTATAACGTAAATGTTATGACTTTCACCGAATCAAAGAGATGAACGAATCAAAAGTAAAGTTGCTGCTTAATATTGGCATGTTGTTTTTTCCTCAAACCAATTTGAAGGGACTTGGGGGTTTGGTTGGGTCAATGGATACATAAGATGGCAAGTGATTATTCATGTGAGTAGTTGACGGAGGACTCGTACTGATTTCCCCATTAGACCGATGGCAAAGACAAGGACATTGAAATGAATGATTAATTGGTGGGGATGAGCTTGACAATACAAAATGAAAATACTAAACAAGTAACTTATTTACTTGCACGATATGAATTGTTTGGGGTATTTACAATGCAATCAATAATACTAGTTTTCTGTTTAGTTGAGAGTGTGTGAGATGGGTGGGTGGGGGGTGAAGACACAAAGAAAGAGGAGGGGGGTCAAATTAGTTGACTTAGCTTTTCCTTTTATTGTTCAAAGTTGAATTTCTCTGTCTTTCATTTTCATCACGTGTATCGTCCCCGCACCAATTGGGGGCGGTGCATCTTTTTCTTCTCTCATTTATGAGCCAGTCAAATCCTTTCTTCACGAAACCCCTACACGTCTTTCCCTCTCTCTCCAACAAAACCAGTCATCGGATCGGGTGTCCATCTATTTTCTTTCTTTCATCCACGTTCCTCCAACCATCCTCTATTTATTTAAGATGAATAAATCCTATCAAGTATTTCAAAATTACACCTTTCAATTCCCTTTATAACAAAACTACATTTAATCTATTCAATTTTATTGTATTCTAAAAATATTCATAGCATTAATATTAAATAAATTAATATTTTATTTATATAAATCAAGAGTAATTATCTTAGTAATACAAATTTTATAATAAATAAGAGTATAACTAACACATTTAAAAATGTGTCTTTTTAAATAATTTGAACATGAAATATTGTTATATGTATTTTATAAATAAGACAAGAGGTAACGCTATATTTGATTTTAAAAATTAATCTTAAATGATCAGATTGGAGTGTTATATATTAAGTGAACGGGTGTATCGATTTTCATATGGATAAATGATGAATATTTTGTTAACACAAATTGTATAATAACTAAATAAGAGAATAAAAAAATAGAACTGAAAATATTATTAAATAAAAATAGAATGAATGCATTGTTACTTTAATTTTGAATTAGTATCAAAAAGTATCTATTTATGGTGAAAATGAATTGTTTAATTATTATTTTTGGTGTGGTAAAGAGAGTGATATACTATTGTGTTGGGATTGGATTTGGATTAGGGAAGAGTAATTTAGTATGAGAAAGAAAAGAAGTGGAATTGGGGGTGAAGTGTGAAGTTGTGGGGTGAATTAGTAAAATGATTGGCGAACTGTGGGCGTGGGCGTGGGCGTGGGCGTGGGCGTGGGCGTGTGTGGGAGCATTTGGACAATGTCCATCCCTGACGCACCATCTGACGCATTAATTTACAGAAATGAATAAATTTCCTTGGAATTTCCACAAAAATCCAATTTGCATTTCCATTTGGTCCACGCTCCCTCAATTTCCCAACTCTTTTTATACCCCAAGCAATTGCATCCGAGAAAGACTTCATCTCCTAATAAATCAATTATTCTCTCTCTCTCTCTCTCTCTCTCTCTCTCTCTCTCTTATGGACAAAGGATGGGGACTCACCCTTGATACTTCTTCCTCTCCATCCCTCCCATTATTTCCTTCCAAACAGCCACCCACAACCATAAACTCTTTCTCTAACGATAACATGTTCCCTCTTCTCGGTTTCCCTGTCAACCTTAGAACCGTCACCAACAAGGAAGACGATGATAACCGCAAAGTCCTCGGTGAAGTCGACTTTTTCTCTGATAGAAACGTTAAACCCAACATCATCAAGAAGGAAATTGATGACAAACCTCTCCAAGTAAATGTAAGCTCCTTTCATCTTCTTCAATTTTCCATTTTCCTCCATTTCTTTTTTCAATTCATCCTTTTTTATACGTATAATTACTTGTGTGGTTCTAAATGTTCTTTTTTACTTTTTGGGTTGCAAATATTCTAGACTGGTTTACAACTCCTTACTGCTAACACCGGGAGCGATCAATCTACTGTGGATGATGGGGTTTCATCTGATGCTGAAGATAAGCGAGCCAAGACAACTGAGGTAGGATACAATTTAATTTTATTCATGTAAATGCTATCAATAAATGTCCTATTTGTTGAAATTTTAGTTATTTTTAATAATATTTTGTATGGACATTGAATTTTGATAGTTTCCCTCTAAGATTGTGAATTAATTATGTTCACTTGTTTGTTCAGCTTGCACAGTTGCAAGGGGAGCTTCAACGCATGAATGCGGAGAACAAGAAGCTGAAAGAGATGCTCAGCCATGTGAGCGGTAACTACACGGCCTTGCAGATGCATCTTATGACTTTGATGCAACAAAACCAGCGCACGGAAAGCACTGAAAATGAGGTAATTATAAATTATTAGTTTCTTCTAATGGTCGGTTTTTTTTAAATATATATAACAATGGAGGAGAAAAAATTATCAAAAAAGATGAATTTCATGGTTACTATATAATTTTATTTACAAAAACCATAATTTGGATTTTTAACGTGTTAATAATGTTCAAATTCAGGTTGTTCAAGGAAAAACTGAGGAGAAAATTCACGGTGTTGGTGAGGGAAAGGTACCGAAACAGTTTCTTGATATAGGTCCTAGTGGTACAGCTGAAGTTGATGATCAAGTATCCGATTCTTCTTCTGAAGAAAGAACAAGATCGAGCACACCTCAGAACAATAACACTGAAGTTGGAACAAGAGATTGCGTGAGAAATAATACCAATAATAGTAAAAATGAGTCGGGTAGGGAAGAGAGTCTAGACTCAGAGTCACAAGGTTGGGCTCCCAACAAGCTTCAAAAGCTAAACCCTTCCAGTTCTATGGATCAATCCACTGCAGAAGCTACAATGAGAAAAGCACGGGTCTCAGTTCGTGCCAGATCGGAAGCTCCCATGGTATGTATTATTGTACAATACAATATATCCTCAATCAATTAATCATATAATTCACAAATTATTAAACCAAATGATGACAAAATCCATTGTGTCTTCTCTAACTGAATCATTTGATGGATCATTGTTGCAGATCAGTGATGGGTGCCAATGGCGAAAATATGGACAAAAAATGGCTAAGGGAAACCCATGTCCTCGAGCTTATTATAGATGCACCATGGCAGTTGGTTGTCCAGTTCGCAAACAAGTGAGTTTCTTCAATTATTAACAGTATTTTTAAGTATTAACCATTAAGCATTTTGACTAATATTCCTTGGTTTGTTAATAGGTTCAACGTTGTGCTGAGGATAGAACAATTTTGGTGACAACATATGAAGGCACACATAACCATCCACTGCCACCAGCGGCTATGGCAATGGCATCAACAACAACAGCTGCTGCTAGCATGTTGTTGTCAGGGTCAATGTCCAGTGCAGATGGAATAATGAACCCCAATTTGCTAGCTAGAGCAATTCTCCCTTGTTCATCTAGCATGGCAACACTTTCAGCATCAGCACCATTTCCCACTGTGACATTAGACCTCACACACAACCCAAACCCATTACAACTCCAAAGAACTCCTACCCCATTCCAAGTACCCTTTCTCCCAGGACAACCTCAGAACTTTGGATCTGGAGCAACCCCATTAGCACAAGCTCAAGCACTTTATAATCAATCCAAATTCTCTGGTCTTCAGTTATCTCAGGAAGTTGGATCTTCCCATGCTCCTAGACCGCTCTTACAACCAACCCAACAACCCTCACTGGCTGATACAGTCAGCGCCGCCACCGCAGCCATCACTGCTGACCCAAACTTCACCGCTGTTCTCGCTGCCGCCATCTCCTCCATCATTGGTGGGGGTGCCCAAGCAAACAATAGTAACAGCAACAACAACAATAACAGGACTACAATTAGCAGCTTCTCAGGAAACTGAGGCTTTTCCTTTTTGGTTCCTTTTTTTTTTTTAATTTCGGGTTAATATCATTTCTTAAACTTTGTTTTTTGTACATGGGTAAGGGAAAATGAAACCATATTCTTTGTAGTCCATGTCTTGGGAGGGGGATTAGATCAGAAAACGTTTCAATTTTTTTTTTTTAATCATTTCACCTTGAATAATGTTGCTTATTTGATTCAAAATTCTCATAGTAAATAGACAGCGTAAATGAAGAAACCTCTTTTATCTTCTACCTTTGTTTTATCGTTATCTTTTTATCTTGGCCTCCGTCCTTTCTGACAATGTTGAAAACAACGTAGACGATAACGCATCCCTAAAAGAACAAAAAAAGAAATAAAAAAAAAAGGAAAAAATAAATAGTGTACAAGTACAAACAGCCAATATTGAACATGTTGCGAAGAATATTCGGATTTTCTCATTGGTCAAGAAATACGGCCATTACTGTTTGATATGGACACGTAGAATTGGAAGTACTGGTAATCTATAGGTGGACTAAGCTAGGGTAAGCCAAGCTAGTGAGTTTCTCAGCAACTTCGTGTGCCCTTGGTGTACGTGGTAGTGATTATAAATAAAAAAAGGAATACTACTAATCATAATAAATTAATAATCGGGTCAACATAATAATAAATATAGGTGGTGGGGATGGAAAAGTGAGGTGTTGGACGTTGATTGGAGAAAATATGAAACAATTTTTGACTTTTTGGGGATGGACGTGGCGTCCACGTTAGTGTCACCTTAACGCCATTGGACGAATCATGTGAGAGTATTTAAACTAGGAATGGAACCAGACATGTCACCTTGCGGTGTTTTTGCAGTCGCACCGTACCTCACACACCGTACAAACGGGTCTTCTTCAGCTTTTATTTGACTCTATCCGAACGAAGGTGGTTGGTCACTTGTGTGATTGGTTAATGGTTGAAGGAAAAATAAAGTTTGTTCTTCATTTTCTGTAAATAATTGAATATATAGTTTCATCGTTCACGTGTTTCCATGTGAACTTGGAGACTATTTTTGGATTTGCCCACCACCTCCTTTTCAAAATCACAGCTTAACATATATGGATGCAAGCTATTCTCGGGAAAATTATCAACACTTGGGATTATAATGGGGCGTTGATGGATTCCTAAATTGAGAAATACTACTATATGCTCAGAAAGATGCGGCGCATATTGAGTTTAACTTATTTTGATTAACAAAGGTGTAGTGTTTAATCACATAATATTGACAGATTGATACAACATAAATGTTTTGTTGATGTATAATTATTTGGTAAGAAATGATTACGAGGTACCGTGGATCATTTGAGTCAATTTCATTGACTATTGAGGATAACGTTTTATAATAAGTAAAAACTATTTATAGTAAAAAATTAAAATGTAATAGAACATAATTAGAAAACAATATATATATATATATATATATATATATATATATATATATATCCAAAGTATTAGTTATAAATGTATCTTTATATAATTTTTATATTTCCTAGATTTTGATTTACTTTTAAGTTTTGATAAGAATATATTATGTTGACTAGAGTCTAGAATACATTGTTGTTTGTACGAAAAGGAAAAACACATTTATTTTTTAATGCAAGTCTAACAAAAATCAGCAGTTCTTTTGAAGGATTAAAATAAATTAAATTATATTTATATGAGGTTTAAAATATATTTTATTTTTGGTCTACCAATGCAAATTATATTTAAAAGGTGAAGATAATTTTTTTGGGGGGTAAAACAATGGGTCGAAAGCCCAATGGATGAATGCTATCCATTAAAATACGGAGCAGAGTGCACAGAATGAAGGATAAGGGAAGCAAGGTCCAAAGGAGGTTCAGGCAGTTCTTGGAACCATTTGCTCTGATATTATAAACAATAATTCAATCATTATTTATTCCAAGAGAATAAAGACATTAAAAAAATCGTAAGAAATGCCTTTGGCACTTGAATGTACGTAGGTTGTTTGTTTATATAGGACGAATGAATTTAATTTTGTCCCTATCTTCATATTTGAATAAGATTGTTTATATAGTTGTGTGAATTCGTTCATATTATAATAACATAATATATAAATTTTAACACTATAAATAACTAAATTATAAAATTAAAATGAATTTTATAACATATATTTTAAAAGGAATTATATTATATTTATTTTATATGATCTTCCTCTATACAAAACATTATTTATTAATAAGTTAAAAATTTATTAAATATTTTTAATAGCTGCGTTGATATTTTATATTAAAATAAAAAATATAATTTAATAATTAAAGAAGAAAATTTATATTTTATAAATAATTATATATAATAATGTTATTTTAAATAAAATATCTTTTAAAAAAATTAACTTATTTATAACTACAAATAATATGCACTAAAATATAAAAATTAATAAAATTAAAAAAATACTTTTATTATAAATGTCAATAAGTATAATTACTACCATTGAATGCAATTCTATCCAAATTGAATAGACTACAGTAAAACCTTATTCCGTCGAAGTTAAAATTTTCGTTCGAATATTTAATATAACTATATTTAATTGGAGATAACTTATATGTCGAATATAACTACTGTACACCCTTATTTAAATATTTAATATAACTGTTTATTAAAATTCAAACTTATATTATATATTAAAATAATACAGGTTCTAATAATTGATCATGTATTTACAGGTAAAAGTAAAATTTAATTTTGAAAAATTTAAGATAAACTTTTATAATAAATATAAAAATAAGTATTTATAAGAATATAAATAATCATATAAAATAATAAAAAATGGAAGTAATGACTATAAATTTTTCAAAATTTAAAATATAAATAAAAAATCATTACATCCTAAACTCTAGTTTATAATATATTAATATTAAAAATAAAAATTTAATGTTGAGTTGAGAGAATCTAACAGTAACACATAAATATATTCTTAAAGTATATTGAATATAGTCTTTAAAATAGAATTCATGGGCATTACGAGTGAATTGTGGCCACCTTCATAACTTTCATGTGAGAGCAATCGAATCACCTTCCTCTCGTGAAGCTCCCAACATTTGAATATCTGATCCCATTCGATATTCAATGCATCTGAATTATGATTATTATATTACATCTTTTTCTCCAGCTTTGTCTTTCTCTCGTGTTTCGTTGTCATCTAGAATGTGAATTTCTATCTGCTTTCTGGATCCGCAAGAACAATAGTAGTAATCTTTTACAACTCAACATTTCAATTTGTCTTTTTGCATGTCCTGCCGTAAAAGAAAATTATGGCCACCATTATCATTTTTTCTTTCTTTGTAGAATTAACAGTTGGACAAATAAAAAGCCTCTTTACCTTTTCTTTCACAGGAAAAATAAAAAACATGACCAAGGGTTATTAAGGAAATCTATTCCAGCACTATTTGCAAAGATATAACTACATAGTTTCAGAAAATAATTTTTATTATTTTCTTTAAAGATTTATATATGAAAAGGTAAAAATAATATTATTTATTATTTATCGTACAAATCTTTAAAAATAAATATAATAAAAATAGGAGAACAATTTTACAATTCAAAATAAAAAGGCATTTTTAAAATTATTTATTTATTTTTATCGGAAAAGGATTAGCAGTGTATTGGTATTTGTTGAGTTCGAGATGCATCGAAGATACTATTAATCTGCTCACCGGCAATTTTTTAAACATGTATAAATTCCTGCTCACGAGTTTTTAAATATACTCTTTTAAAGAATTAGAAAATTAATTGTAATTAAAGTATAATATTAAATTCATTACAAATTTATAAAAAAAAATAAAATCAGACTTGTTATTTTCAAATCTTAACAAGTATGGTAAGGTGCGGCTGACTGCTTAGTATTTTTTTCCCTTTTACTTTACATTTTTCCACGTCACGCTGAGTTATCACTTATCGTAAACTTTGGAAAAGAGAATCAGAAGAGAAAATAGATGAGGTACCTGCCCCAAGTCCAGGCCCATTACCCAATTCTCTTTAAGCCCAATTCTCCCTATCGTAAGCCCACAAGAGCAGGTTTCGATTTTAATGGAAATGAATTATAATGAAATTTCATGGTCTATTCTGCTATCCCGATGAAACTTGACAATTTGGCATCAATAAATTGAAGACCTATTATTGGGAGCTTTTTTGATGTCTATACGCATTATTAGCATTGATTATGGTTGTTTGAGGATAACCAGTGATGTATAGATGGAATGATCCCAAATTGGTGGTGTTGTTTGAAGCACTTAACTAGTTCTCTTACTTGCATTACCATAACACTCTTCACTGGGGCTACCACACTCCCTTTCTATCATTATTCACAAGTTGACACTTTGGCTTTGCTTCATGGCAATGTCTTCCATACTTGCTTTGCCACGCTACCTTCTACTCCAGGACTTTGTGCTTTTCCGTTTTTCCCACTCTTTCTCTCCCTTCCATTCTTTCCCAAGTCCCCACATGCTTACTACTTCAATTCCTACTCTTATGTTATCGTTCTTTAATAAAAAAAATAAATTTGGTTATGTTACTAAAGTCTATCCCCGTTCAAGCAACGAAGAGTTTATTTATTTTTAATTAAGATAGCAAGTTTCAAAACTGTAAAGGTTAAAAAAAGAAAAAGAGAGAGATTGAACAATTTTTCTCTCTTTAAATAAACAAATACAGAAGAATCTCTGACTGAGAGTTGAAAAAACTAGTCAAATTACAACATTTGCTCGGAGACATTGTACGCTCAGAATTACATTAAATACATAACTGTTAAAGTAATTAAATAAGAACATTGGATTTTACTGGCTGAAGAATAAAAAAAACTGAAGTGGTAATGCGTTAGATTAGATGGGGATTGTTTACGTTAGCAAGTTATTTTAGAGAACAAAACGTAGAGTTATAATTAATAAACAAAAGAATAGTAATTAAAATTAAAATGATTGAATAATTTATTAACCGTAAAAAAGATATTTAATTATAGCACTAACAATAAAAATTGGGTTGATTGTGTACTAAAAAGGAAGAAAGGGGTAAATTTAGTGTGGCGTGCTAAGGAAAGGAACAAAATCGGTTACATCCGAACAGAACGCGTGAAGAGATTCCCCATCCCCAGCTGCTGAGGGTAATGAACGGTTAAAGATGTGGGCCCCCATTAGGAGTACGAGAATAGGTTAATAGTTGAGCTGGGCCCACTTCACTGCCAGCTTCGCCAAGGTGGTTTCTCCTTCTCTATGGTTTTGGGGGATTTAAATTCTCCTTCTCCTTCCCCTTCTCTTCTCATTTCTCTTTTCCTCTCTTCTAAAGGTGATCTCATTCTTCTTCCTTTTCTTCCATTCTCCATCTGGTTATAGTGCATTGCTCTTTTTCTCTTCTTCTCATCCGTCTTTATCACATGCAATTCAACGACTTTTACTTCTACTTGAAACTCTTATTATTCCAATGCATGCATTAACAAATGGGGTTTATGGTTCGTTTGTTTATTTTGGATGAACAGATTAGTTAACATGGGAAACATGTTCAATGTGGTCGTATTCTGTTTCTTGTTTTCTCTCGTGTCTTGTGCACCAAATGACGGGTTGCGTAGGATTGGACTGAAAAAAATCAAATTGGACGTTAACGACCGTTTGGGCTTCAAGGATGTTCGTGACTCTTCCGTTAGAAAGTATCATTTTCAAAACATCTTCGGAGGCAACAAGGATGCCGATGTCGTTGCACTCAAGAATTATTTGGATGCTCAGTACTATGGTGAGATAGCCATTGGTACCCCTCCTCAGACTTTCACTGTTATTTTTGACACGGGTAGCTCTAATATGTGGGTGCCATCGTCTAAATGTTACGTGTCGGTAAGCTTGCTTTTCGTAACAGTCTTATGAATGAATTTGTGTCGGATTTATTTTCCTTGTTTTGGTAACTTGTTAATGGTGTTTTGCATGTTGGTGTAGGTTGCATGCTACATCCATGCCAGGTACAGGTCTAGCCAATCCAGTACCTACAGGAAAAATGGTTTGTCTTCTTCTCCTCTTTTGATGCTTTACCATTGTTTGTTCTGTATGGAGGTTATGCAGTTTTTTATTCTGAACATGCATTGTTACGAGTGCTCTATTCTTTTATCATAACTAAGAGGTTTCTTCTCTACGGTTCATTCTCAGCATTTTTGTAATTTCACAAATTAGCTTTTTCATTTATTTTGAGAAGTTTGGTGTGTTGTTTGATTTTGTCCGTAGTGTATCGATATAAACAAAACAAGTATGTGTTCTTTTCTAAACCATTGAAATGCGGTTTTTGGAGGGGGGAGGGGGCTCTGAGCATAAGGCTTCTCTCTTACGAAAGATCAAAAGTTAACCCTTTCTTAATAATGAAAAACAATTTGAAAAAAGCGAGTTGACTGCTAGAACTGCTACTGTTTTTAAATAAAAATTGAGTTACTCCTTAATTGAATTCAAATTTATATCTAAACTCAAATCAAACGTGGAATGATGTTTTGTTCGAAAACTACAACAATTCAATGTGGGTTGTTATGATGTCATAAAAAGGATGATCCTTAAAGAGATTTTTACCGTCCTGTCTTTTCATTTCACCCCTATAAAATAATATAACACGAAAATTTTAAAGTTGTTGGAAATGCCCCCGGTCTTAGCAGCTTTTTGTTTTAAGAAATATATGTAATTTGTATTGGCATTACATAATTCACATCATAGGAAGTTGTATTTGTTTATGTTTTTCTTTTACTTTGGGTTACGTCACATTATGCATATGCAGAAGTGGTGCGTGATGTTCTCCTCTGTTTTTAATGAGGGTTTGTCTTCCATGTTATATAGGGACTTTTGCTGCAATTCAATATGGTACTGGAGCAATTTCTGGTTTCTTTAGCTATGACAGTGTCAGAGTTGGTGACATAGTTGTAAATGACCAGGTAAAGCTGATTGTCAATCCACATTTGCTCATCCTTTTCCTTCACACCAGCAGGTTGGGGGGGGGGGGGGTGTCAGTTGAGTTGGCTTCTTTCATAATATGTTGTATAATCAATTTAGAGTATGTTTTGATTCCCATCAGATATTTATTGAAGCAACTTCAGAACCTGGAATTACGTTTGTGGCAGCTAAGTTTGACGGTATACTAGGACTTGGATTTCGAGAGATATCGAAGGGGGATGCTGTTCCAGTGTGGTATCTGTTCAAATTTAGACTTCAGTAGATAATTTTCTTGTTATTTTATTTAGTCTCTGTCATAATGTTGCATTTTTCTGTCACAGGTACAATATGATTGAACAAGGTCTTGTAAAGGATCCAGTATTCTCCTTTTGGCTTAATCGTAAACCAGAAGAAGAGGAAGGGGGTGAGATTGTTTTCGGTGGTGTTGATCCTGCTCACTACAAGGGTGAACATACTTATGTACCAGTGACACGAAAAGGATATTGGCAGGTTAGTATTGACACATTTGTTTGTTATTTTCTCTGATGCATAGCACCCTTAAATAATAGTTGGACTCAGCATTTACTGTCGGTAATAAATTGGGTACACATGGTTATGTACCGAATACTCACATATTACATTTAAGTACATATCAGTTCATGCATAACTTCGGCTTTTATTGGTTTGTTACTAAATATAATAAAACAGACTGATATTTCATTTTGCTTGCTAGTAAGAACACTATGAAGATTGTATTTACATTGTAATTGTAATACTTTATTGTTTTGTGTTATGTTATGATATTTCTGTATGGCATATCCTCTCTCATACCCTTAGAAAATCTGCTGTATTCCCGTAACCAAATTCATGTCGCACAACTTTACTGATTGTGTTAATTTTTCCCAATAGGACTCTTTAACTTTTTTTTTTTTTTTCCTAAACAGTTTGACATGGGAGATGTGCTTATTGCTGGCAAACCCACTGGTATGGCAGACAACATATTAGCCGAAATACCTATTTGTTTCTCCTATGACATGATATTGATAGCACATTCATAAATGGTTGATGGTTTTAGTTCATTAGTACTGACTTATGGCATACTTGCATCCAGGATATTGTGCTAATGGCTGTACAGCAATTGCTGACTCAGGAACTTCTTTGTTGGCTGGTCCAACGGTATGAATAAATGCTTTTAAATTTAGGTTGCTAAGTAGATTTTCATTTCCGATTAGAGTTTCATGATCTGTAAAGCATGCTTTTAACTTAATGGAAGAGGTACAGAAATTGTGGACTCGGCTACTTTTTTGTGATTTCATTTTAATATTACAAATTAAAGATCTAACGAATGCTTCTGACCGGCTTGTTTCTATGATCAAATACGTGGTTTTGTTCTTTTAGAATGTAATCACTGTGATAAATCAAGCAATCGGAGCTTCTGGAGTTGTAAGCAAAGAATGCAGGTCTGTTGTAGAACAGTATGGACAAACAATCTTGGAGTTGCTCTTGGCAGAAGTAAGTACCATTTTCAATTCATTCTTGGCTTATCTTGACTTGGTCAATCAGAGTCTTGCCTATGATCTGGGTGATCTTGCCATCTTTCAGAATGAATTTTCTTATGATTTTGGATTGATCCCGTAGGCAAAGCCAAAGAAGATCTGCTCACAAATTGGATTGTGTACCTTTGATGGGACTCGTGGTGTTAGGTAAAGATATTATACCTTCTTTCATTTACTTAAGAGACTTGATTGATGTTCTGTGATTGCCAATTTATTGAAGAGTCTTTCAATTTTTCTTTTAGTATGGGTATTGAGAGTGTGGTGGATAAGAATGAAAGAAAATCATCCGGTGGCTTCCATGATGCTGCTTGTTCTGCATGTGAGATGGCTGTGGTTTGGATGCAGAGCCAGATGAGGCAGAATCTGACACAGGATCGGATTATTAACTATATCAATGAGGTGTGTAAGTCTTATATATTCTTTTTGAGTAGCACTTCTGCTCATGACTCCAGTCTAATGATGATATTGCAGCTTTGTGATAAAATGCCTAACCCAATGGGAGAATCCTCCGTTGACTGTGATAAGATCTCTTCAATGCCTATTGTTTCCTTCACTATTGGTGGAAAAGTTTTTGACCTTGCCCCACCGGAGGTATACTTTCAAACCTGATTAGATGCTTTTGTGAGGACTGAACACTAACTGTATTTATTGTGTACAAAGAATTTGTGACGAGAAAAAGGAATTACAATGTTGGAGGGAGTACAAAATGTGACCAGAAAAAGGAAAAAAAATAACGGACTGTAAGTTAAAGCTAGCTGGCAAAGCCAACAAATTGAGCTTTGCAGTTTCTTCGATTTGCTGGAACAATCTGCGAGTCTATCATGGAACACTAAGTAAATCATGAGATGAATCAAAAGAGTTGAAATAAAAGACCACCTTTTTTTAGTGATTATAAATAAGTTGTTTTCAACGGAATGGGGCTGAAATCCAGAAAAACTGAATAGCCTTTTTTATTTGTTGGTGGAATAATCTTTCATATTTGTTACTTAACAAATTAGTTTTAATGAAAAATAAAACAAAAAATATGGAGCAGGAGGAACTATCGCATAGAGAAGCAGAGGTTTCAGCTGCTACTATAATGATATCAAATTTTATGTAATAACAGTGGGCACCAGCACAATTTCTATCCATGAATGGTTGCCATGTTCCATGTATTTTGTCTCTCTCATCTAGTTTTCTATTTGGTTTCTTCAGTATATACTGAAAGTGGGTGAAGGTCCTTCAGCCCAATGCATTAGCGGCTTCACTGCTTTGGATGTTCCTCCTCCTACTGGCCCTCTTTGGTACGTTGGATTTCAAATATTCTTGAGACATATACTATGGCATTTGCCTTTTGATTTGATTCTCACTTAAATGGCGTATTTATAAATGCAGGATCCTTGGAGATGTCTTCATGGGACGCTATCACACTGTCTTTGATTATGGTAATCTGAGAGTTGGATTTGCCGAAGCTGCATAAAGAATGTTGTCGTGTTTCGCATAATGGCTACTGTTATTAGCTAGTTGTTTTCTTTTCTTTTTTTATTAGTAAAACCAAACAAGAAATGTAATGGGAAGCGTAGCTTCAATACTACCTTGCAATCATAATGTGCCTATAAAATTCGTGATTGTATATTAATATTGTAGCAGTCCCTCCCCCGTGTATTAAATAGCTTAACACAGATTTATGTGGGGCTGACAGGCTGTGGCCATAACAGGGGCTCTGTACCATGTATGCTTGCTTAGTAGAAAGATGTAAATACATGGCTCTTGTGATTCCTTTTTTTCTTTCAGCTCTTTTTCTTGTTTCGTTAGATGCATGTATGATATGTCTGATGCTTCAAAATGCATATACAACCACAACAACTGCACATAAAAGGAATAAAAAAGGAAGGTGTGTCAGATTCAGATGCTTCAAACTATGTATAATATAACGTTAGAAGATATAATATAGTAAGAATGTCAATGTGTTTACAGCTTAATTGGTATCACAGTTAATCTCTAATAGCTCGGTGTGTGATGATATGAGATGTTTTACATTTTTGTTGGGCAATCGGTCACTCATGTACTTCTATTATATAATTTGTCAGTGAAATATAATTTTTTTTTGTATTATGTCTGATTTACCTGATTGGATTTTATCAAAATCAAAGGACAATGAGCAATTTTTGTATCCGGAACCTGATCTATGCAAGGCAATTGGCCAAACTAGTTTAGTGGCCGGAATTGTACTGGTATTTTATTAGAATAAAATACATATAATTTAGTAATTAAAAAATAATATTTATATTTTGTAAATAATTATATATATATAATAATAATAATAATAATAATAATAATAGAGATTTAATAATTATGAATAATACGTCTCAAAATAATAGAGATTTAATAAAATTACATAATTTTAAAGTATAATTTATTTTAAAATAATAATACTTTAATATATAATGTTAAAAATTTTAATTAAATGCTAATAAATAATATATATTAGTAATAATAAATTTAAGATAAACTCTTAAAAGTAACCTTTAAATTTGAAAAAGATGAAAAAAAAGCTAAGATAAAATTTTATAAATGCAAGGTCGGGCCGGTAAAGGAATGGGAATTGACGGCTGTTAAGTTTGTAGTTTATAACGTTTAATTTATTTAAGAAGAACGATTAGAAACAAAAAGATAGACGTACGATTGACAGATTCTCATTAAGTGATGATATTTTTTAGCTTTACCAGCTTGCATTGGGCCACGAATCTGGATTTATTTCTGTCATTTTCTGAATTTGTTTGTTTAGCACTTTCTCATTTTGAAATTACCCTCCAAAGAACGTTAAGCCATTCAACATTAAAAACATGTCTTTTGATTGGTATACATAATCCATTATTTTTCCATTAAGAATGGAATTTACATTTGAATTCTTTTTATAAGGTAATTTTTCGAAGGTTACAGTAGTCTTCAATATAAAAGATTTTACAATTTTTATAGAATATTTATTATTGTTTTATTGACCATAGTAAATAACTTGGTAAAAATCTAAACTAAAACTAATAAAGGTAAATGTTGATAGTAAAGTTAAAGTTAATAATATTAAGTGAGAATAATATTATTAAATGATAACATTTTTAAAAATTTAAAAATTGATTAATTTTAACTATTTTTGTTGATTTGTCTAATTTAGTGAAAGGTGACTTGTAAAACAAATTAAAGGGAGTATTATGCAGGTGAGTGGGCTTCAATTGTACAAGATAGGATCATATCAAAATATCATAATGAGTTACTGTCAAACGAGAATACGAGGGAATTAGGAAGGGAACAAAAAGGTAAAAATTGCTCCTTGTCATACATTGGTCAGTTATGCATAAGGAATTGAATTAATTGCTCAAAATCAACTTTTATAATGAAGATAAAAACAATAATTAAAACCAAGTGAATTTAAGTTAATGGACCATGGTGTATGCACATACTACAACTAGAAGTGAATGGTTACAACTGTCCAGTTGTTATTTTACTTAATGCTAACACCAGTCATTATTAACTTTTACATAATCGGTTGAGATATGAACAAGGCTCTTCATAGCTATGACAAATTGTTTCTGTAGTGACTAGTGATTTTTAAGAAACCAAGCTTTCATATGTTTTTATTTTGGGTATCAATGAGGCTTTGGATGTGAAACTAACTTATTGATTACTTTATGGTTATATATATAGCTCTCTCAACAAGTGGCTTATACAAGGATTGAAAATTTAGGATACGAAATCCTATGCAATTTTGGCGTAAATTGTAGTTTACAGTGTGTTTTTATTTGAACAAATTTAAATTTGTTTAAGAAAAAAATAAAAAGTTAATTTTCCTTTAAATTAAAAAAAAAATTGCTTAAACAAAATCAGCTGAAAAAGTGAGAAAAAAATTTGAGTAAGTGAGAGCGAAGGAGAACTGGGAGAGAGAGAGAGGAGGAAAAGCGGGGGAGAGCTCTGTTTTTGCTTATACACTGCAGACTGCAATTTCTGTAAAAACTGCAAAAAGTCTGTAATTTTAAAAATCTTATCTCTTTAATAATATTCATGTAGTATATTAAAAAAAATGACTAATTTTATGTAAGAAAAAGGGTTACAAAACATTTTAAATAGCTCTGCGTCAGTTTTTCCGGTGATTGAGGCAATTGGGAACAACTGTACATGTATAAGAACCAAATGTTTTTATTACATAAAATCAAATTAATTAAAAACGAATCAAACTACATGAATCAAAACTAGTTATTTTAACTCAAGACTTGTATAGATAATATTGTTGTTTTGGCATTGCAAAGAAGCAACTAAGAGCCTTGGAAGTTAAGGAAGATGGCGTGGAATGAGGGCTGAGGCAGTTTAATTGAACTTATAAGGTGCCTTCACTTGGTTATGGATCTGACGTTTAGAAGATGAAAGAGATGATGTCTATATGACAAGGAGTATGAGGCAAGCATAGGATTTGGGAGAGAGAAAAATGGGTTTAATGTGGAAAGGTAAAGCAGAAAGTGGATTCCACATCGTAGAGCATGCAATTGCATTGGCGCAGCGTGATCCGATTCATGCACACTGAGAATAGGAGGAATTAAAGCAAAGAGTATAGTACTAAGAAAAATGGTTGGCGGCATGTGATGATAGAGACTTTAATCATTGGCTTGCTTGAAATTGACTCTTCCTTTGATTCCCTCACATTACGCACGCAAAGTGTCAACGCCTACGCCGTTCCACCATTTTCACCTTACTTTCAACAAAAGACCTTCCAAACTTTTAATACTAACTGTCCCAACAAATTAAACTGTGCTCACCACTCAGCTTCTCCCTCTCTCTCTCTCTCTCTTTCTTCTTTTATTTGTTGGTTAACAACTACGCAATGTGAATGGACAGCCTGGTTGGTGTTTTTATTATCACTGGTGATGAGGCTTAGTGCATCAAGTTTGTTGCCTATTTGCCTTTGCCCCTTTTATTCTACTTTAACCTCATTCCATCTGTCCTATTAGTGCAAACCAACATCCTTGCCTTTGAGGCTTTCACTACTTCTCCTTCGGCTTTAAGTGGGTTTTTGCTTTTAAATTGACTTTCACTGTTGGCATTCCTTTTGCTTTCTTCACAATCCACCTAACTTAGCAGATGAACCGGTTGTTAATTTTAAAATAAAGCACTATACCACCCCCTTTGACTTTAAAACTAATCAACAAGATGTAGATTGTTCAAGTCATTAATTAGGAGGGAAGAAAGAGGATTGACCATGATTAAACCTCTACTTCTAGTCAGTAATTGGCATTCACCAAATTAAGTAGGTATACACAACATTGTTCTTTGCCTAACTCAAGCTGAATTCCAGCAGATCGAATCCATATTTCACTATGCCCATGCACAATTTTAATGGTTTTCGTTTCAAACAACATGCTCTACCGACTAATCCAAGAATTCAAGAATTGTTTGGCACAGCCCATCAAATTTAGACACAACCATTCTAGCAAGGCAACAGGGAACATGGATTTAGTTACCAACGAAATAGGCCTAACAACGCTAAGGGTAACCTAAACAAGTCAGTCCCTTCACACAGAAATTGAGGCAACGAAACATAAAAATTCCTTCCTTTGTGGGCCCAGAAAGATAAAAACAAATGAACATAGGCATGGAATATGCCACAAAGATGTTCCACTCCATGGATCCCGCTCCTCCCTCATGACCATATCATGATTCGGAATGCACGCTCCAACGCGCATTCACAAAACCAAACCAAATTGACCCCAATCCTTGGGCTTAACCCTTCACAGTTCACACAAGCACGTGCCAACATGTGCACCGTCCCATAACCAAGCTCATGCTCATTCATTCATTCATTCATGCCAATGCAATGCCGGCCAACAAAAACAAAAGAACTCACTCTCACTCCTTGTGACACGTGGACCCCTCCCATGACAAGATTGTGAAAGCACGAGACGGCGGCCGTCCATTGGACACAAGCAAAAAAGTGCAATGCAGACAAATACCCTTTCCACATCATCATCATAACTCCTTACCCTTTACATCAATCCAACCACAACACACCAAACCAAACCTAAGTTTTTACCTTTCCACACATATATAAATGTTACAATTTAGAAAGCTACCTCCCAATAACATATACCACACCAAACCACTCCTTTTCCTTTCAATTCCATCTCCATGGACTGGACTAGAGGCCATGTGCTTGGCCGCGGCTCCACCGCCGCCGTGTACGTCGCCGAGTCCCGCCCGTCCGGTGAAGTCTTTGCCGTCAAGTCGGCGGAGCTTCACCTTTCGGAATTCCTTAGAAGGGAAGAGGGGATTCTTTCCACACTGAATTGTCCTCAAATTGTGGCTTACCAAGGTTGTGACATCACATGTGAGAATGGTGTGCACTGGTTCAACTTGTTCATGGAGTATGCACCTCATGGGACCCTCGCTGGGCACGGTGGTGGAATGGAAGAAGGTGTGGTGGGGTCCTACACGCGCCAAATTCTTGAGGGATTGAACTATCTTCATTCAAAGGGGATAGTGCATTGCGATGTGAAGGGACAGAACGTGTTGGTGACGGAGGATGGGGCTAAAATTGCTGACTTGGGTTGTGCTCGGAGAGTGGCGGAGTCGTCAGCGATTGCCGGCACGCCGGCGTTCATGGCACCTGAGGTGGCGCGTGGGGAGGAGCAGGGGTTCCCTGCTGACGTGTGGGCTTTGGGGTGCACTGTGCTTGAGATGGTCACCGGGAAGTCGCCGTGGCACGGCGTTTGTGATCCGACGGCTGTGATTTATAGGGTTGGATTCTCCGGCGAGGTGCCGGAGATCCCTAGTTTTGTGTCGGAGCAGGGGAAGGATTTTTTGGGAAAGTGTTTGAAGAGGGACCCACATGAGAGGTGGACAGTGGAAGAGCTTCTAGGACACAGTTTTGTTAAGGAGTGCAAGGAATTTAAGTTAACGTTGGATTCGGACACTCCCACGACAGTGTTGGAACGAGGGTTTTGGGACTCGTTGGAACCAATTCAAGATCCCGCACGTGATTGTCCTTCTCCTAGGGACAGAATTCGTAGGTTGTTTACGGATAAGCCCGTTTGGGAATGCCATTATGATGATGATGATCGATGGGTCATGGTGAGAAGCAATGATGTCCATGACAAGCACTTAGAGTTGGAGGGGTTGTCCTTTGAGAAAATGGACACTGATTGCAATGTCCTTAGTGATGAGGAGAATGGTTTGGTAGTTTTTGTTGAACCAAAATTATTAGATGCAACTGTAATTGAATTGAGTAGATGGAATGCTATTTGTGATGATTGTTATCTTAGAGACAGCGATTGTGGCTGTCACGGTAGAGCGTTGTTGTCGCTTTGTTCATATCTAATCATTATTTTACTTCATGGAAAATTTGATTCTCACAAGAAGGAAGTTTTTATCACACATGCCTTTCTTCTCTCTCTTTCCCTCTTTGATTGCACTTTGGATTATTTGAACACTTTACAATTTCAAATTATAATTTAATTAAATAGGATAACGCGTGCCCGACATTATGAATGGTTAATGGTTAACCTGGCCAAGTTTAATCCAATTCATAACTACGGCCTTGTGAAGCTTACTTGTTTAAGTTTCCATGCATACAGTGCGGTTCGCTTAATGCGTGTAACAATGAATTTTTAATATTTTCTTCAATTTCTAATTAAAGAGCATTAAGGATACTTTAAATTTTCCAAAATTAAAAGTTGCCTCAAGCTTTCTTTCTATAATTGCTACAAGCCTCGTTCTCATGCAATGGACGCAGCATATTATCCTGGTCTCTATCCCAGTATATCTGGCTAATCAAGAATGAAAAGTTTTATAACCAAAATATATTTCATAAAATCTAGTTTGGATAATTATAGAGCAAAAAGTTAAAATAGTTTGTATCTATATGATGTGAAACGGAGCTTCGTAAAGTCGAAAAATGTCCACTTCTAACAGGACGGAGCATTGAAAGTTGCAAAACGTTGTGGAGAGGCATGACTCGTTTCCAAACATGCCCTTAAAAATAATAATAAGGAACATTTTTGTGATAAAAAAGTCATTTTTATTATCATTTTTTAAATTCTATTATTATTAACAATTAATTTGAAAAAGATCATATTTTGCAATTAAAATTTTAAAAGAAACAACACAACGGCGTCTTTGAAGGATGGATCAAAGTGAAGGGTAGAGCCACTTACTCATCCCAACTCTGAAACCAGCTGAAATAATTCAAGTAACATAATCGAAGTATAATTTTGTGAAAATGTCTTTTCACACATATCATGTGGCAGCTATATATGGCGTGTCACTAATCTGTTTAGCACCACGTGTTGCGCCAGTAAGAGTTATAACACACTATTTAAGGCAATTTTTTTAATATTGCGATAATTTAGGGGATTCAACACAAGTGATGCCACATGTTCATGTGGCAAAAAAGCATATAAAGATGTCACGGGGCAAAAAAGAAGCCCAAGTTTTTTTTAAAAAAATTATATTATTTTGATAAATAATTTTTAAAAACAGTATTAATTTGGCCAATATAGCATGATGATGAAAAGTGTTATTTTCCTTTTTCATCTCCCAGATTAACTAAATTCCAAGTTCCATCTCATAGATTGAGGATTATCATACTCCCAAATTATCACGACTTCTGAGTTAATGCTGGAAATATATATGGCAATTTAGCAAAAAACAGCTCCGATTTTCAGTTCCTCTAATGATTTAGATGAAGAAAATTATACTTCTTTGACGAAAGAAATGTGCCTATATCATGAAATGCAGAGGCAGCTTGCATTTCTTTTCATTCAAACGAATTACACGAATGCCCACCTTCCTTTCCGAATCTTCTTCGCGGTAGAATACATTAGTAAAGAGGATGCAGATTTGAATAGTCTATTTTTCTTTAAAAACATAACGTTATCCTGTTGAGTGAAAGAAAAAATTCTGGTGCAGAGCTCAACAATTATAATGCAGAGGGATCCACCATTCCTGTACACACATAGTTCGCCTTAACATAACAATGTCATTTTCATAAGGATATTACTAAATCCAAAAAATAATGATATCTGCACAAATTTGTTGCGGGTTTAGTTAAATTTTTAGTGTAGACTTCAGCCTCTTAAGTACTACTTGGAGCTGCCTTTGAACCACTGATTGGCACATTATAGTGGGTATAGATGATTAACAACATAAGTATGACCCAGAAAAAGTGAACGATCAAGAAGAGATTACTCTCTGGAGTCTGGACCAAGAGAGACATCACCTAAATAGGAGCAACAATAAATTTAAACAAAATTAAGCATCAAAAGATAACTTAAATATCATCAAGCACTATTTCTTGGCACATCCCATTATAGTTTGTCGAAACTTAGAAGGTGAAACAGAAGTTGAAAAAATTACATATGTGCAGAAAAAACAAATCAGCACTGTATTTCTGTCATCACTCAAAAACTTTCACAATTTGTTAGGACAAAATTGATCCAAATTCTAATCAAAAGTGAAATGCCATTTCTTGAGGAGCATGCTTACAAGGATTGATAAGTTGTTATCAGCAAACTGTGACGGGAATCCTGAAAAGTATAGAAGCCATTCCTGCCTGCATGTTTCTTACATATTCTTCTTGGATCCTGAATGTGACAATTGCTTGTCTAAGGATTGTAGTTGGTTGCGGAGGTTCTGGTTTTCCTCAAGTAAGCGGTCATACTCAAGAAGGAACCCCTCAGATTGTTTTCTCAGAGCAGTTACACTGGCTTCTGCAACATCTACATCTTTAGTTTTTGACTGTAGTTCAGATTCTAGGCGGCTAAGTTCTGCTCTCAATCTGGCTGTTTCTCCTTCCATGGCTTTAATTTCTTCTGAGTTTGCAACTTTCCCATCTTCTGATGCGCGGGTCTGCTTCTTGACAGCCTCCATGCTCTTTCTTCGAATACGGAGTTCTCTTATGTAATGATGTAATCTGTCTATCATAAGTGCAAGAAAAAGGACAGCACCTGCAAATAATTGACCAAAGATGAATGATGCCCAGCCACCATAAGGAGGTTTGTTAAAATTTCAGAAACATTAACGAGAAAATAGGTCCAAAAACTCAAAATAATATCATTTGGTTGAATTAGAGTTGCAATTCGACTCTTAATCTATGTTTTAAGATTTGATCAGTGTAATGATAAATCAATGCCACAAAATTCTTGGAAGACAGTGAAGGAAATTTACGTTAAACATGGCATACTTCACATAGAGTACTTCAAGGAGCAGCTTGAGCAGGAATTAATTCATTTCTAGAAATACTGTCTTGGAAAAGAGTACAACATTATTGGGAAGATTTTGGATATATGTTGAATAATATTAGAATAATAAGATTTAATTAAACAAGTGTTTTTCTTGCCAAACAAACATAGACTGTTGGAAACAATTAGGTATGGGTGAAGACAGTAAGAGGAATACATAATAACTGTTCGGTTCAAAGGAAGAAAGGAGAGGCTATAAATAATTTACTATGATGCTTTTACAATGTGATAAATAAACCCATTAAACTCAAGCATTCAAGTTAATGATAAGTAAGTTAACATAGTCTAAACATTCGAAGTATTTTCCCTCCCTTCCACATCCCTTCATTATTGGCTCCCTCCTCTTCTCCCCAAATATCAAAACCAAACAAGTTATTTTTAAAAGAACCTCTCCCCTCCCTCCATTTCTCGCTAATCAAACACTATGTTAGGTAACCACAGAAAAAAGAAAGAAAAACAACAACACAACTAACCATCAAGGTGAGCTACCATGAAACTGAAACCAGTAACATGACAGGAGGTTGCATTTACATGCATTTGACATGCCAAATTCAAAGCCGCCCCCCCCCCCTCTTTCTCTTTCATGGGCAAAGTGAAAACAGTGTGTGCCTTGTGAACCCAAAAAATTAAATAAACGAAGGAACAAAAAGTAATGTCTCTATGGTTGTGCCGTCGATATAAAACAGTTGATCAAAATACAAAATGTCCATATAATGTCACAGCAAAGAACCTTTGTTCTTTGTTAACATGGCCTAGACAACAGACAATAAAAGCTCACATTGACAATTCACTGCAATCCTGAGGTACAAAATTTAACTCCAAAGACAATGACACAAGTCACCCAACTAAATGCTATCTGGTTGTGAGTAAAAAATTCCACTACAATAAAAACCATAGACATCTGATTCTTACAAAGAAAACTTGGCAACCCCCCAAAAGCGAAAAACAATACCACAAGTAGCAAACAGCACACATTTGAATAAAACTAGAAACCTATAATGCATGGAATGAATTGATTATCCAGGCAGAATCAGATACAACTAATAACGAATTAAAAAAGGAAATAAATTGAGATGAAAAAAAAGGAATGAATACCCATGAGTGTTGCTTCGAGGAGGTGCTTGGCCATAAGGACCTGATCGGTGGGATTAACAACAGCACCATCTTCGATCCCACGTTTCTGAATTTTGAACATGCTGTAGAGACTGGAGAACAAGACAACGAGAATGGTCCCTGCAACGGTCTTGACCATGATGGGTCCACGCCCTCGCTTCAAGCGATCCAAAGCCACAATCACGAGCTTCCTCAAGGGGGTCTTGAATAGCAACAACGCCACCATCGCTGCCTCAGAGAATATGGCCGTGAACAGCAACTGAATCATCTTCCTGCTTTCAGATCCTTCTGAATTCACTATGGGATCGGATAGACTCACAGATACACAAGTTTATTATTTATGGGCCCAGAGAGGTTGTGCGTCACTATCATGAATCATAGATCATAAATCATAGGAGATTGGAGATTGGAAAATCACCAAAGAAAGAAAGACTGTGACAGACAAAGGAGAAGAAGAGAGAGCCTTCCAAAAGCAAAACCACCATTCAATTTCAAGCCACAGCAAGATCTTGGGTCCAAAAATGTTACTAAAACAGTCTGTCCATCAATTTTTTTAATTATTGATTCAAATTTATTAGAAATAATAAGAAGTACATTAATTTTATTTTAAATTTAATGATTTTAATTTATATTTTAAATAAATTATAATTATAAATGTTAAAAATGAATTTTTTTTCAAGTTTAAAATTTGAAGATATAATTGAAGTGATAAAATTTTCGTTAAAAATATAATAAACATTATTTTTAATAAAAAAACTATTATTTGTAAGCATTTAAAATATTTTTAAGTATCAAAATTAACAAAATCGTTAAAAAAACAGATGAATCTTATTAATTAGTATTTAAAAGACATTGAATTTTTTATTAAAATCATATTAAATTGTAATAAAAATTTAAAAAATATATTAATAATATTTTAAAACAAAAATTTTATATTTTAAAGTTAGCATATATTTATGATACTCTTAATTATTGGTGTCCACGCTGTGTTAAAAAACATTTGATTTTTTTCAGTAAGTCCTCGTACTTTCGTAATTTTGTCGGACAAGGCTTTCAATTTATAGTTTTGCGTCACACGCATACTATTATCGTACATTCGCATTAATATTATAGTTAGAGGGATGAATGATGAATACACATACAAAGTGAGTCTTACTTAAAAGCTATATTAAATTTAGCCTACAAGTTCAAATCACTGATTATCTCCGTAATAGTTCAAATTATTTTCTATTCTTCCTTTTTAATTTAGAAGTTTGTAACTCAAATTGAGAAGTGGATTGCAAGCACATATTCTTTTAAAATAAAATGTTGTTTTACTATTCAAGAATTGCTTCATATAGATTTCTCTTTCTCTAAATTAAGAGAAGTACTATCATTGTAATTATAAATTAATCATTCATATAAACTGACCATGTGTAATGTCTTAAGAAATCATCAATCAAAGGCTACACATGTATTATCTTAATTATTACAACTAATCAATTTTTTACCTTACTTTCTTACGGTCTAACTATCGATTCACTTGTACCTTTTTAACTTTTCGGGAATAAAGAACCTCAGGTTATTACATTTGCCAAACTAAATAATATACATATGGGAAGAATCAAATTATACTTACAAGATACATTTATTTTTATATTATTAATAATTTCTTTAGAAAATTTCATTCTAAAATTAACTATTATTACAAGTATTAAGCACATAAATTTTATATATATATATATATATATATAATGTGATATAAATTCAAAATTAGTTAATAACCTATTTATATATGATCAAAATTAACATAATATACATTTTAAAAATTTATAAAAATAATTTTTTTAATAACAATACTATGAACGTTAAATTTATCAAAATTTGACACAAATGATTTAGGTAATATATAATTACAACTTCATACTTAAATTAATAAAAAATATTTTTATATTAAATTGTTAACAATGTAAAATAAATTAATTTATATTAGTGTAATTATTATTATTATTATATATATGCAAGATTTGTATTCGTTGATATTTAGTATCAAACTTTAATATTTAAATTATTTAATAATTTTTATAAAATATAAATTTTATTAATTTAATAATTAAATTGTTTTGTATTAATTATTTTTATAATTATGTATTTTTAAATTTTATATAATTTAATTATTTATCATCATGTTGTTTAAAATTTATTTTTTATATTTTAAAAATATTTTATATATTAAAATAAAATAGTATAAAATTAATCTATTGGATAAAAATATTTAAATCAACAATTAAGTTGATTAAATTTACAACCGGTTTCTTCTTCAATCTTCAAACTTGTGCCACTAATCTTCATTCTCACTTGTAGTTAACAATGGCCAAACTGATTTTCAATCGGTGGCAAATGATTAAGAAAGAAAATAGAACAATAAATTTAAAAGATAATTATAATGACCTCTCTTTTAGTTAACATTGATTATATTTACATTATGTTTATTTGAGGATTATACTCATTTTCTTTATGTTATATATTTTTCTTACACATTGACATTTAAAAAAAATACAAATTCTTTTTTTTTATTTAAGAATAATACACGCAATACTATAAAAAAAATAAAAGAAGGAAATTACAAAAGGAACAAGTATAATTTTTTTTTTGTAACTTCAAGAAAAGTCAATTTATTTGTCGTTAAATTAATTAATTTACTCTGTCATCATTTATCATCCCCTTTGTTTTTATTGTGACCACAATGAGTATGATTCGATTTAGTTTTTGTCGGCGGTACGTAATTTTAAGCAAGCTAGATTAGATAATGTGTTTATTTTTTAAAACAGATTTGTGAATTAGTTCAACAAAACAACAAAACTCAAGTACAGAAACTATATCAGCTTTACATACGAGCAAAACTTCTTGTATATGGATTGGGAAGTAAGCTTCAAACATGTTTCTCGAGACCTTAATCAACATTAAAAATTGATATTTTATGTAATATTATATAAAATTATTTTATATTTTTACTTATTCTTTTTTTTTCATAATATAAATTTATAAAATATATCCAAAATATATATAAAAAAAAACGTTAAGTTTTCCTTTAAGTGATACATATACAAAATATTTTCCCTTAGACGAAATAATAAAAAAGAAGCCGTAAGTATAGGTGTTTACGTCTGCATCCATCAGATCAGCTTGAAAAGGTTTGTTATCTTTCCCTTAAGATATAGTTTTAGATACCTTTTGTGTGATACTTTCAATCGTCTTTGGGAAATTCATATAAAGACGGGTTTGTAATGATTCAGTATGATGGTATAATAAAATTGTCATGATAAAATGGCTATAAATGGTTGGTTGACGACGTCAATTGATAGGTTAGGGGCTAAAATATTTCTACAATGACCATAAAAGGTTCGTCAACGTTTTGAATTGACAAGTTAAGAGTAGGTTTGATGTTTATTACAGTGGTGGAATATTGACTTTATAGAGGCATATAGAACGCATCAAAGTTATACACTGAGTCAAAGAAATAATTCATTTTGATATGGACTGAAGTTAGATAGGTTAATTTAGCTAATATCTGAAACTTACAAGGACAGTAATATTCAAATCTATTCAAGGACGCACAATGCTATATTGGTACCATGATCTTGAGGTGAAGTTTTGACGTACATCATTGCATGTGTCTTGTGCAACATCGTACATCATAGTGGCATATTGCACCAAAGATCACATTTTCTAACTTCCCTGTGAGATGTGAGACAAGTTAAGAAATAGATATTTGTCGCAGTTATAGTGTAGCGTGGCTTGTGACAAGTAGCCATGGCTACACATATCAATTGTGGCTAATATGGGCTTGGGTTAGGCCGGGATAAAGGGATTTTATTTGGGATGAAATTCTTGATGTATGTTTAGACGAGAATTTGTTAGTTATGCTAACAATTTAACTTTTATTTGATAAAAATTATGCTAACAAAAAATATCTTAAATTTCCAATATCTAATAATTTTGTGTCTTTTAGTAAAAAAATTTTCAGTGAAAATAAATGGGAAGAGAAATGATAATTTTTCGTAAGCTTTAACCACTATCATCTCTCTTCGCATAATTGAGCTTCCTCCAAGTTGAGATTTGTTAAGGGGAGTAAATTAAACTATTTATGTTAGTCTTTTTTTAAATTATGATGATATTATATTATATTATTGTCAATCATTTTAATATAACTAACCATTCATTTTCTTTTCCTTGTAAATTGGTAAATGTATAAAGAAAAGTAAAAAAATATTTTTGGTTAAATAAAGATTATTATACTCATACAAGACTCAAGTTTTACCTTGTATCAATTCCATAATGTTTTACTATGTCTCTACTCTGTGAGCAGTTAATTTTATCAATTTTTATTATTTAATTTTTGTATGTACCGCACCCGTCTCTGATGAAAAGACGGTTGTTGTTGATCGCTTGAAGAGTTTTCAAAAATCACTCCACATAAACATGTTTAACTATTTTTATTTTTTTATTTTTTTATTATTATATTCACATTGTAATATAACAACATCAATAATTTTAAAAAAAATAAGATTATCTAAACGTGAAAATTTCTATACTGTTCGAATGTGAAGTTCAACGTTTATACAAAAAAAAATTTGTCTTGATGTTTATTGGGTAGATTGGCAAAGATACAGCAAATGAAAAGAAATAGATTCAAAAGAATACAGAATGCAAATAACTCTCAATCACGTGAGTTTTATTGGTTTTAATTAATTTTTATTTTGCACACTCTTGAGGCAATGCAGATGGCTAACCCAAAATCTCCTTAACTGTGGATCCACGTTAATAATTGATTAATAAATAGTATCAGCAAAATTAAACTCTAAAAATCTTATTTATTAAAAAAAAATTAATAATTAGTACAAATGGTAATTATACTATAAGCTTGATAGCAAACTATTCACAATTATTCTCTTTATCTAAGAATATTTACAAAAAATTTATTAGTTATAGTACACATGTTAATAATACTAGAAAAGCTTACTTGCAAACTCTTCATAATCATTATCTTCACCTGACGATGAAAATAAAGCAGCTAATTGCCTAAGTTCTGAGAGACTCCTACCTAACTGTAAAGCAATTGTGATTTCAAACAACTCTCCATTTTCTCTTTTATCATGATCTTGTTCATTAATATTTAGCTCTATATTCTCTTCCATGAGCTTAAAGAAGCCAAGGGTCGCTCTATACAACTCAAACACCATCCCTACTTGCCCACCATGCTGCAATGTGTTAACAACACTTGCCAAAGCTCCACCAATAACCCCAAACATCACAGGCCAAGATGCATTCACAGAACTCAAAAAACCAGAACCCAAAGCTGCAAGGCCAGTGAGTAATGGACCAAAAATTGCCAATACTTTGTTCAAGTTCAAAACTTTTTTACTCAACCTCAAGTAGTCTTCCATGTCTTTCTTTTTCAAAATCATCACAATCTTTTTCATTTCTTCTTCCAACCTTGCATCCCATCCATTCTTCCCTTTCAGTTTCCCACCCAACTCTTCTTTTCTTAGACACTTTTGCTTCTGCTTAGGCCAACAGACTGCTGGCTCCACAGTTTGAGGAAATTTTTCTATCATTGAACCCAACAAAGGAAGAGGGTAAGCCCTATCCAATGCCAACAGTTTCCCCATTGCTTCATCAACATCATTTTCAGTAGGATTCCCAATAGCAAGCCTGGTTCTGAGTTCTCCACGCAGCTGCTTGAACAACCTTGCAGCATTTCTTTGTTCCTCAGCAAGCTGTGATGGCTGAATCTTGTTCATGATCACAAGTAACCCTGTGGCTACCATGTAAAGAATTGTGGAGGACACTTTCAGTGCCACAAGAGGTGCTCCACTTGAACTAATGGCTGCAAGGCCAACCATGGTTGCACCAGAGAGAGTGATCATATTAACAGATGTAAGTAGTAGGTGGTTCCAGTTGTCGCGCTGAACTCCAATATTTCTGTGCATCTCCAATCTATCTGCTACAATCTCCATTATCAAATGAAGCTTAATAACCTCCATAGAATTTAGTGTACTTGTGCTAGGTGTTGTAGAACTATCAGTGTTGATATTGGAGTAGTAAGGATCTTTTACATGAGTTGTAGCGGTAGCTGAAACGTAATTATTTAGATAATCCAATTCTGCCACCAAGCTTCTGGTGGGAAGCCTTGGAGTGGAGATTTTGGTTACCTGGATCTTAGGAGCATTGATTGTGGCAGCTACTTTTCTTGTACTGCAATATGATAAAGAACAAACTTTGCTTGAAACAAGATTGGTTCCCATGTGCTATTGCCACTGGTATGTCAATATTGAGTACTTCTGTTGAATGAAGGCCTTAACTATAAAGGTTAGAGTGTATGTGATTGAAGATGTTTGGGATTGAATTGCTACTTTCTCTTATAGCACATGCATATATATAAGAAGATGAGGTGGGATTGAGAAGTTTCCTATTGAGGCTGATTTTTGGGCAAATCTATGTCTGTCCTTTCGTTTTGGCTACTTCTGCTCCGAGTTCTCTCTCCTATGCTGACTTTCAACAGAAATAACGAGTAAACACCCTCTGTACTAAACAAATTTTAAAAAATTGTTATACAAAATAAAACATTAAAACATGACCTGAAAAAGGGTTAAGGACCTCGCAAAAATTAATTATAAAAAAAAGAACCTCTTGCTAAATGTTTTAACCCGCTTTTTTGACAATCAACCACCATAATACTATAATAATATCTGCAATAATAAAACGTACATATACGTCCACAAGAAACTAAATCACATGGCTATGCTTAATATTTTAGTACATAGCCATGCATTTAATCATTTAAAACATTTGACAGAGTTTAATAACGCATAATTCAAAGTTCTTCTTCTACATTTAGTGCATTCTTTCACGTGGGTTGAGTAAAATGCTTTCCTCGGTTGATGACTAGGGGTCGGGGGGGCCGCGGTTGTTCACAGAATATGATCGCTTTGAAATTAATGTACATACATCTAAAGTATAACTCAACATGGTCACAGGTTTCGTTTTCTGACCTTTTCCTCATATAATCCCTCCGCATTATGATTAAATTCTCTGAGCTACATCTGTAAGTAAAATAAAATAATTCTCTTGTTCACACATCCATCACCTTTTTCCAACTTGAATACTAGACCTAATTCTTCGCAGTAAGTGTTTGGTTATTTACATTTGTTATAATTCCATATATTGGGGTTATTGCCAATAAATGGAATTATAACAAATAGTATGATCCACAATCAAATTGGGTTGTTATGTTGAAATTCATATATCGAAAATAGATAACGAAATAAAACAACTTTGCAACAAATAAATTTTGAGGACAACGAAAATGAAAGCATGAATAATTTAATATACTAAAGTCATGTGATATTCTTTCTTAATTGTTTTGTTGAAATAATTGTGTAAAATGAATGATATCGCGAGTATATTATATACTTTCAACTTTGTAAGGCAAGGAGTCAACTATCTCTTATTTTCGGTATACACACTAGCTAACACAACAAGGAACAAACCCGAAGAGTTGATTCAACTTTCACGTGACGGCAAACAGAGCGCGTGCCACATATTCCTCTCAAGTTTCCACAACACGAATTTTGACACAAAACTCATGCTATGCTTCACACCCTTTCGTATAAACGAGCATAAAACCCTAATTATACAATGATCTATCATAATTTTTACGTTTCCTATGTTGTTCTGTACTGTTTATAAAACTTTCAAATCATCAGTTGTTAAATTTAGAGAAATTATTACTTTCTTTCAGAATTTTTATCATAGAACATCAATAATAAATAATAACCATCTAGTTGTCTTTTGTGCATCTATATTTATAGGATCAATTGCATCAAGTGATGGTAATGAAGAAGAAAATAATTTCCTCTAAAATGAGCACTGAACCATCGGTGCTCAGTTATTGCTTTGTCTCCAATATTTATTTGATATTTACGCATGAGGATTAACTTTCACAAACTTCTAAATTCCAAGAGCCACCAATTGATGATGTCTACATAATCAGACAAACTAAAAGATCTTCCAAATACATATGAACTTAAAATGCAGATCATCTGAAAGTACATTCGTTTAAACTGATGCAAACTACTCTAGCAAGCAGGAGCATCACTTATAAGACTAAACTGTAATCTTCTTGCGTTCAGGCTTTAGTCAGTGTCATAGTTCGCGCTCGAAGGTTCAAGAATATTCCCCTGAAAAATACACATAATGAATTATCTCAATTTAGTGGTTGTTTACCAAAGGGAATGATGATTAAGAAGTCAAGGAAAGAAGAGGAAATGGCGAACCAAAAACACGTACCAGCAAAATGCTACTAAGCTGTGGAAAACAACACGAAAATGAAGAGGCATGAATTTGTGATTTATCCACCCCACAACAGGCCAGAACTGCAGTTCAATTCATTGGGGGTTCTAAAGTCAAAATCAAAAGAGTGGGTCTTGTAGTAAATTTTGTTATTCTCTACACTTGTAATAGAAGATTACCGTCCATGATGTGTACTGCACTGATGGATAGTCTTTCTTAACTTTAGCTTTGACATGCATCCAAGGTCTCCCTGCAATCCACTTTTTCATCATAAACACAACCACCAACCAAACATGCCATTTTACACATCATTTTAGGATAAATCTCAATTTTTTTTCATATAAAAAGAATAAGTAAACAAATAGTTGACCAGGAATGTCATTGAGTTGGGTACCCTATTTTTGACACTCATGGGAATTATGTCAGAGTTCGGAACCCTATTTTTGACACTGATGGGAATTATTCTAATTTTTTCACACTTTCCACCTGTATCTGACATTCTGGTTGGTGTATTCCCTTGATCCTTCAATGTAAATAAGGAAGTTAGGTGTTGAAAAATGACAAACCTTCAACAACTAATCCGTAGTAAATCAGGAAAAGCAAATTGTTCAATGGAGAAGATGTCAACTGTTCAATCAGAACCTGAAAAGGGAAAATCAAAGAAAAATTACTAAAAAATGTCAAGTTATATATATCATCTTTTCTCTTGTGATCTTATTTGTGTTGGGAGAGGTGGTACATAAAGCAAAAATGACCAGAAATAAAATATTGTATAAATATGTTCAGAATGATATCAGTTTAAGAATTTGATTTATTTATATAGCATTTTGAGTGGAATATTACACAGTTTCAAAAGTGTAAATCCGCCACTTTTGATAGGATTTGTAAATCATTTAATTTCCAATTAATTATTTTCAGTTCTAGATGTCAAAATGTTCCAAAATCCAAACACTGCATAAGTTAGCTGAAGCATCATGCTGGAAATAATGTACGAAAAGCAGATTGACGGCACAAGTGCCAGTTATAATCCTGAATTCAGGTCGTGGAAGAAATAGTTACAGCAGACTGTTTGCTAGTTTTACCTTCTTGGCCACAGTTTTTGAATCTTTCTTTCCTTTGAAAATTTTATCCAGTAGTAAATGAAAAAAGTGTCCAAAAGGTCCAAGATAACCGGCTCCGAAAACCTGCATGCAATAAACAATCCATATGATTCCTGATGCATACATATAACAACAAAAAGCACAAGCCACTGAAAATGGTGGTAGTTAAAATATGAAGTTTAAAGCAAGCCTTACTGAATTGGCTACTATTTCATCCACCCATTTATGCATGGCATAGTTCTTCAAAATGAGCAGCAACATGTTAAATTTTCTTTTGGTGAAGCCCAAAAATTAATAACCCATTTAGAGTAAAACACCATTCTGGTCCTTAAAAGATTTCAAATCAGACCATATATCAATCATTGAAAATCATAAATCACCATTTTCATCCCTCATGAAAGATGAAAAAGTCAATCCTCTAACATAATTTAATCTTAGTAAAAGACTAAATTAATTAATATTTTTATCTTAGAGGAACGAAAATGATCATTTTTATTTTTCATCCTTTAGGGACTAACATGATTGACTCCGAGTCTTTCAAGACCAAAATGACGTTTCATTCAACTCATTTCAGTATTTTTAAAAACAACTTTTGCTCAAGAAACATGGCCCAAAGGAAATAATAGAAACTAAAATGGAAGAAAAGTAAACTAAGTTGAGAGAAAAATAAAATTGTATTAATCTGAATGAGTGAAAATGTGATATTACAAGAGGAGATAGGAGGCTTATAGAGCCCATGGAACCAACTATCTACTGACAATCCTAACTAATCTCTAGCAGCCAATAGAGTTCCAATTTTGTACCACACCCCCCAAGTCTTGATAGTCTAAGCACTTTCTCTTCCACATGAATATTATAAATTTAGGTTATTATTCTAAACTAGTTAGGACTTGGGTAGCACAAAATAGGAAAAATAAAAAAAAGAAAAGAAAAGGAAAAGAAATTCACCACTTTGAGAAGAAGTCGTTTGACTTGAAGTTTCTGAATGCCAGTAAGCTTCTGAGATACAATATCGCTGATCCCTGACAAAACCCCTGCAGTGATTATCTGGTTTAACCCCAGTGAAGCAGGGGGAAGAAGCAAATAACAGCATACATAAGATTAGCCACAATGAATCATTGAATCCAGATAAACCCACCTTCCAATATCTAATCAGAATCGTTACAATGGAAATTGAAGGTGAGATAGATGCAGAAAAAGAGGAACCTTGGTTCTCAAAGGGTGTTGTTGGAGCTGTTTCACGTAATTGTTCAGTCCCTTCTTCGCTAAAGATGCCATCTTGCTCACACCCTTTGACTTGAAACAGGTAAGCAAATTTGGGACTGCGAAGTGTTTACTGTTTACTATGGTTGTTGTCGCAAAATATCTTCCCAAAATGTGAGAAGACATCAATCAATGTGGTTGTTGGGCCCCATTCACATCTTTCACTATTACACATGTGCTACTATATATATATATATATATATATATATATATATATGTGGGTGTGTATATATATATATATAAATTATTTAAAAAATTAGAAAATATCATTTTAATTATAATTAAAAAAATAAACAATAATATTAACAATAATTAAACTTTATTTCACGATTTAATACATGAAACACGCGATCTCATTCAACTTAGTAAAAACTATTAATCAAATGAAATTTTATTTGTAAATTGTAATTGTTGAAATTTTGTTGTAACGAAAAAAATTTCAATCAAATGGACCAACGATTTATGAATCTAATTTTAATGTAAAATTATCTCACTAGTGTTAACATTTTCCTTTATGGATCACGTGAGAAGTAAAAACTTGCATTTGGATTTGGTTGATGAAAATATCGACTGTTCAGCCCTAATCCATTTGAAAAAGGGGCTTTTGTCAAATGAAGATCCGTTTAATGATGAAAAATTTGCATGTTTTCTTTTAAAGAAATGGGGGTAAAAGCCCAAGCCGAAAGAATACCCTTCTATAACTAAACCAAATAACCAGACCAATGAGAAAAAAGAAAAATAATATATAGCTTCAGATACCTTTTAGCACGTCACAAAAATAAAATAAAATAAAATCCCTTCGTAAGTTACAGTAATCGCACACAATATAATTGAAATTGTATGTAATATCATGTATTGTTGAAAATTTATTTATTGACACTCAATTTTTAGGTGCACACAGAGTGAAAAGAATAGCGAGATAAGAATAAAAGAAAAATAATAATAAGAGATGTGATAAAAACAAAAAAAAAAAAGTAAGGCAAGGATGAGAGAATGAAATATAAATGTAAGATAAAATGGGTGTTAGAGATATAAGACTTTATTATTTCTATCTCTGTCTTACTTGTTTTCTCTGTACATGCATCTTAAAAACATATTTTAAATATAAAAGAGATACTTAAAAAAGTTTCAAATTAATATTACAAAATATATTTTTCATAGCAATAACTTAACAGGGCAAACAAAAAGATTGAGCCTTCTGAAACTCCCTACACAAAACCAAACTCTATTTATTTCGCTGGACTTGTTGTAATTTATATAAACATTATTGTAAGAAGTTAACTTGCTGTTGTTGTTATAAGCGACCACCTTTATCATTCATTAAAATACAATATATCAAATAGTTGAGGTCCACCTAATTAAAAGTACAAACTTCTCTCTTAAGTATCTTATACGTCGTCTACAAAGTGACCAACTATATATAATCTAAAGTGAAGAAAAAAAATCTGGAAAACATCTTCATGTTCATGGTTTTACGTTTTAGTTTGCATTATTCTGTCATTTTTAGAAAGCTGATCCTTGAAAATTTATCGATTTCTTATTTTATTTTATCTTAAAAATATAATTTTTTTATCTTTATTATTGTTCATCCTATAAAAAGACAAAATTGTTTAATTAAAAAAAAACAGTTTAGCTTTGAATGAATTCATTTTCAAACAGTAAATAAGTAAACAGACAAATACTTATTTTTCATCCTTAATCTGGTAAAAAGATTCCCTAACACTTAAGAGTTAATTAAATTACTGCAATTAAGTGAAATTGTTTATGGTATAGGCCTAGGCAATTGCCATTTAGGATGGGTCTCTATAAATCTTTTTCCTGCGCTATATATAATATTACTTTGCTTGATGGAATCAGGGGCGTCATTCCCTTCTTACCATTTTTTACAATAGAAAAAACAAAATAAGTCTAGCTTTGAATGAATTCATTTTCCAAACAGTAAATAAGTATTTTTCTGAGCAGAAAAATATGTTTGAAGCATGAATATGTGAAATTTACGATGATTTTTACATCGTCATTAGTATAATACTCTTTCAATTCAAATCTGCCACACATTCTTGACACAGCAACGTTGAGTTGCCGCCGGCTCACCCCACCCCATTTCCTGTTACATTGCCCTTGACTTTTATTAATCACAAATCCGAAATTAAACCGATTATTGTATTTCTACGTTTGTGCTTTATCGGAATGAACACATTTTGCTTCTGAAAATATGTAATTTAATTTCCTCATTCTTCAAATCTTAGTTTGCCAATAAAGTCCACAAAAGAACTTTTGTCTAACGAAAGTTCAATTTTCAATATTAACCGCGTGGAGCATTTTAAGAGATACTCTTAATTCGTATATGGCCGAAGAAACTTCAAAGTTAAAGACATTATCGATTGGGACATTAGTGATAGCCAATCGCCAATATATTGAAAAAGTAAAAATTACTGGCTCAACAAAGAGGACTTGTAGGACAAAAAAAAAACGCAGTCGTATATACACTATGTTGTAAGCTAATTCTTTTGTTTTGCAAGTAAAGCAGTACTATAGCCTTATGGTTTTTCTACGTAGCATGTTGAGACCCAAAACGAGCCATGAAGGCTAGGAATTTTGAACAGAGACCATGTCAATGAAACTGGTCAATCATGGGTTTCCTTATTTGATTTTGACTCTTTCCGCTTCCCTTTGGTTCTTTATAAATACTAACACCTACGCATCAACATTATCAACAATTTCCCTAAACCACTCTCCTAAACACACAAAGCAAACAAGCCACTCTCCTAAACACACAAACTACATATAGAGAAAGTTTTATTAACCCATCATCATGGCTTCCATACAAACCTCAGTACTACTCTCTTGTTCTTCCTTGTCTTCAAAGAGAATAAATGCCTCAATCAATGTCCCAAAACTCCCAAGAGTCGATTTTTCATTGCAAAAGATACTTACCATAAAGCAAACGGAGGAATTGAAACTCAAAGGTCACACCCCATTATTAGACAAGAATGTTGACAGCACACAATTGCATGATGATAGACAACAGCATTTTTCAAACTCTAAGGCCACTATTCAACTCTATGCAATCTTGGAAGCAGTGGCTGACAGGGTTGAAATGCACAACAACATTGGTGAGCAACGTGACAACTGGAACACCCTTCTTTTGAACTCCATCAACATGATTACACTCACTGCCACAACCATGGCTGGTGTTGCAGCTACAAGTGGTGCAGGTGCACCACTTTTGGCTTTGAAACTATCTTCTGCTTTGTTGTTTTCAGCAGCCACTGGGATGTTACTTATCATGAACAAGATCCAGCCCTCTCAACTCACAGAAGAACAACGCAATGCTACTAGATTGTTCAGGAACCTTCAGACACAAATCCAAAACACAATTGCACTTGGAAATCCTACAGATGAAGATGTCAAGGGTGCAATGGAGAAGGTTTTGGCGCTTGACAAAGCTTTCCCACTTCCCTTATTGGGAGCTATGCTTGAGAAATTCCCTGCAAAATTTGAGCCTGCTGTTTGGTGGTCTTCCACTCAGTTTCAAAGGAAAAACAAACCCCACGAAGGAAAATCACAAAGCCAGAAAGTGGAAAAAACGAATGGATGGAGTGAAGAACTAGAAATTGAACTGAGGGAGGTTATTGAGGTTGTAAAGAGAAAAGACATTGAGGACTATGACAGGCTTGGAAACATAGCGCTGAAGATCAACAAGGCTTTGGCTATTGCAGGCCCTTTACTCACAGGAATTGCAGCAGCAGGATCTGCATTTGTAGGCAATGGGTCATGGTTAGCCTTTGTGCCACTCATGGCTGGGTCGTTGGCTGCTGCTATTAACAGTTTTGAGCATGGTGGGCAAGTAGGTATGGTTTTTGAACTGTACAGAAACTCTGCAGGGGTCTTCAAGATGTTAGAAACCTCAGTTGAAGCAACTTTAGAAGAGAAAGATTTGGAGAGAAGAGAAAATGGGGAGCTCTTTGAAATGAAGATGGCTTTGCAGTTGGGAAGAAGTGTAGCCCAGCTTAGAGAATTTGCTTCTAAATCAGCTTCCTATCGTATGGAAGGTGTATCTGACATAGACGAATTTGCCAGCAAACTATTCTAAGAGAGAAAACATTTATCGAATGCTTTTTCTTTCATTCTTTCATTCGTTTTGTGCAGTTTTCAGATGTAGAAAAAGGACTTTGTTACACACTTGTTTATGAGAACCAGGATCGCAGTATTTTGGTCTTCTACGATATTAGTTTGCATTCAGAATTTGTTCTTGAAACATTATCTGTATTTAAAATTTAAAATTTGATTCTTTAACTTGATAAAATGTACATCTATGATGTATATAAACAGCTGCAATATATCATTTTATTTATCTCAAATATATTAGAAGTCATTTTTTTCAAATTATTTATCGCTTTAAAATATAAAAAATTATTAGTTACATTTTTTAACAATATTTTATTTATAAGAATAAATTTATCAACTAAATACTAAATAACTCAAAAATTAATTATCACTTAATTACTACAATAATGCCATCACTTTCAATAGAAATATTTTAACAAAATTAATTCACTTTGTTATGATAAATAAATTTTATTATTTTCTTAAAAGAAATGCATAACTAACGTCTAATATGATGCGGAGAAAATATACATATTTAATACCCTTCATATTGTTTATCATATTTTTTATTATTATTATTATTATATTTTTATTTATTTTTAAGGAGCAGGCATTTTAAAAAAGGTTTATCTAATTTTTTTTAAAATTTTATATTATATCCAAAGTGATAGATTTTTTTTATATGAGAAAAAATTATTAAAATATGAAATATTTTTAAAATATCATTACGATTTTTAACTAAAAATTTTCAATTACATTTTTTATTTAAAATTTTTATTAATTTTTAAAAATCTTCATTAATAAGTTTTAAATTTTTATTTTTTTTAAAAATCAGCATTAACAAGTTTTAAGACTTTTTAACTTTTCATTGCTGTATCGTTAAATTTTTTCACCTACACAAAAAAAAATTATTTTTAAACTCTATATGTTTATAATTTTTTTAAAATATTATATTTTAAATCCTAGATGATGCGTTGCCATCTTTTTAAAGTGTTAATTAAATGGATAAAAAAG